CTCTGACAATTCTTGGCTCTCAGTTTAACTAAGCCGGAGCAATGGCGGATGAAGTGTTCGACGTTCTCAAGTTCCTCTTTGTGCCCATAGCTGCGACAGTAGTCATCACATCTTGCTGGCTCGTAACCCCACAAAGTAGTGGCTAGTGATGACCCAAACAACCAGTCTGCATTGGGAGCGTTTCAAGATATGAAGGGCCCTGGTTCTTCCGCCTATCATTTGCCAATTCAATGTAGTATGCACTTAGCCACAATTTGCAAGCTGTTAAAAAGGATGCGCATGCTCTTTCCGATTCGTCTTCAAATTCTATGTCTGGAAAGCTTGTAAGAGGTTCCCAACGTTGATCTATACTACCACGATTCATTGCAATTTTCAATACGCTAGGAAAATACTTCCGATAGAAAACTAAATGATTAAAAAACAGTGGTTTTGAGAATGTGAAACCCCTTCCATACCCGAACAAGAACCAGTCCCATTTTCTTTATTCGAAAAGCGTAAAAAAGTCTCTACTGAATGACCTTAAATACCTAAAGTTCTCTACGCACACTACCCGAAAGGCGCTTATGCCACTGCTGTGATGTAATTGATTAAATAATTGCAAAAACTTTGCTTGGTTAATAGTAAATTGGCGCTTAACACATATTTTAGTCTTTAGCCGAGCTTCTCCTCCGTTTCGGTTTAAGAAAAAATATTCGATTTAGAGAATTCTGTAATTAGCAGTTCGTTAATTTCTAGTAAAGCTTTAATCAAAGTAAGACGCTAAGTGCTTCATATTTCAAAAGCTATGTTATCTGACTACTGGATGTATAAAGTATAAAAATGTTGTTACAGTACAAACAATGGAGCGCATACAAGCTAACGTTATTTATTTTTCACCCTTTGAGCAGTCTGCCTAAAACAAAAGACTTCTATCTCATGAGCGCTGTTGGAAAAAAATCTTGCATTTTATAATTTCGGTTTTCCGCTGTCAAAAACACAAATGAACAGATCACAGCAAAACAATGACAATTTTTCAAAGAAGAGTGATACAAAAGAAAATCCCCTAAAGAATTGTCAAACCCACGCAATAGCAAAACTAAAAAATTGAAAAAATAAATACATACATACTGAAAGCTGGCGATGTCATTAGCAGACTGTCGGTACCCTGCAGGGAGTGACGTTAGCTTATACCTTACCTAACTTTAGTCTGTTTACGCGAACACTAGTGCTAACTATTAACT